TGTAAATACCAAATGTATTAGCATAATACATTATTAGCCTTGATAAAATAAGGGCGTTTTCTTACGCAGACTTATGAATACCTTTCTCTAAGCATCACAGGCAAACATTTCAACACAAATTCACAGGCTACCTCTCCTCTGCAATATCTCTTCAGGTGTTCAGCACAGATATGCATTAAAGTATCAGCAATGGGAAAGATTTGTCAGACAGCATTATACTAACTCAGAACGTGTAACTTTGAAAATCCCATTCTTGCAGAAAAATACTAAGGCCATCAGGGTTTCCTAAATTTGATACTCATGGAACATTAAAAAAAAAAATTAGGTGTACAGAATTGAATGCGTTATCACCTGAAGGGTATCTATGGCATAGTCTACAGTGAGGCAGAATTTTCTTGTCAGTGCTTGTTAGTTGAAAACCTACACAGTTACAGTCTTAAAAATTGAAGGAAATCTTTCACATAATTTTTACTGCAATTTTTTTCAGTCAGTATTTTCCTAACAACAATTTTGCCTCTAACAACTTTTCCCACTTTTGCTCATCTCTAGACTAAAAAAAATTCACATTTTGGTTATGTTGCTTTAAAAAGATATATACATAGGTGTGCATATGTATATACATGTAACAGTACCATAGCATTAAATATATAGTATCCTCAGGTATTGTATATATATAAAGAGGAGTTTTGTATGGGTAAAACATTTGGAACTATAAATTCAGAAAATGAGGTTCTAGTTTTAAATCTTCCTTGAGCTCTGTTTGCCATATCTTTCAATATTTCTGTTCACAAGTTACTGCTCTTTATATCTGTAAGACATGCCTGCCTTCACTTAGTAAATAAAAGAGTATTGGGAAATTACTAATTATTACGTATTATCATCAAACTACTTCTTGACTTTGAGTATGAGCAACTGAGTTGTAGGAAGGTAATTTCCAAAGAGTACAGCTTGTTGTTTTCCTTGCATCTATTGCTACCCTAAACAACAGCATAGAGATCTAAGATATTATTTTACTAAATGAATGTAACCCTTTTTTAAATAACAGATGATGTATAACAAAAGGAGAGGAAATTTAGCAGAACAATGCCAAATAATTTTGTATTGTTCATCAGTGCAGAAAGTTACTCACCATGACAAAATAGATTTGTTGGTTATAAGAACTGACAGTGAAACCAAAAGCATTTTCAAATAGAATTATGAGAATATCATCAGCACAGTAATCTGCATGTAAAGTGATTTTGATTGCTGGATTGCTAAGTAGGTCCCAAATGACCTATGCTAATATGAAGTGTCAGTTTTACAACTGATGGTGGTATTAAAGATGCAGTATTCCTTTCTCTTGAACAACTTACACTTTTAGTAAAGGTATACAAGTAGATTTTCATCTGCAAAGTGGCAGGGTGTACTTCAGAAGTCAAAGTAATAATTTAAGAAAACTGACTTGTAAGCACTGGGAAATTGGTCACAGCTGCATGAGACCAATGGGAACTGCATTGCCTATGTGCTGTTTCAAACTGCTGCTTGCCCAGCTTTGGAAAGGACACTGCAGCATGATGGTATTCATTCTGCTCATTTGTAAAACTCCTATTTACCTAAAGCATGGCTAAGACTGCGGTGCTGAAATATAAATGTTTCCTAGTGCTAGTTTTGTTCCATGTATCTAGCATTCAATAACGTATGATCCAGAAAATAACGCAGTATGGATAATAAATATTATCATCATTACCTTTCATCGGCATAATTCTTCCTCCAGAGAATACCAGCGACTCCACTGGTGCAAATAAGAATACCCTTCCATCATGTTGTGGGTGAACTGTGCTCCTAGGGCTGTATCTTGACAGCAAAGCCTGGTATTTTAGCCATTGGTTTCAGTTAAGTCAGGACGGTGTCCCAGGCCTTGTTTATTTCAGTTTTGAAACCATGGGTGTAATTTATTTTAGACTAAACACGAAGCCAGATGTGCAAGCTTTTTACTATTCTGTCTTTTAATAGCAAAATTAACCTTGGCTTTGCCTTCATCTGATAGGGAAGGAGTCTTGAAATGCACAGCTGTGTCCTCGTTCTCCAGAGCACATAGAGTAGTGCCCATGGTGGAGATTTATTTCAGTTACAGTTATATACAAGTAGCAGTTCAGAAGAAGGCTGCTTAGTTTTACTTTCCCAATGCTTGTTCCTATGACAGATTAGCTGAACTAAAAAAATTAATGCAGCAAATTTACCAAGTATTTTATTATTCATTCAAGCTCTACTTTGTAATTATTTCATTCCTATTTCACATAAAAGTCCACAACTACCCATGGCAATCCAGCCACAGTTCAGCCAAAAAGGCTTCATATGCAGAATACAGAAATCTTATGTCAACATTATAAAACTTTCTGCACTTTGAATGCCTGTTCGTGGTGGCAGTGTTGGGTGGCCTGGTCTCTTCGTCCTAGCCTCTCCAAACACGCCTTCTGCTGCCTCATTTTCTAAGAGGTGGAGGCAGCAGGTTTAATATAGTAAAAGTTTAGAAAATGTCAAAATTAACTTACTAATAAGTAAATGGAAAGTTTCAAAGTGCCTTGTGTAAAGGTTAGTTTCCTATAATAAAACCTAATTAACAGGTTTTTATAAAACAAAGCTTGCTATAGTCTCTTGGTATTTTTGTAAAATTGTGAGTTCAATCAGTTTGTTCTTAGTGGATACAAGGCACCAGGGTGTGCACAAATGACGTGCATTCTGCTTGGCTGAGGACCAGCAGCCCTTCCTCTTCACTTGGAACGTACTGTTCTGTAGGGTCTTCGAGCCCAGAACTACGTGAGTTTTGAAGAGGACTACCTATATCGCTGTATTTGACATAAGGAGACATTGCTAATAAAGTCCCTTCTTATAAGTTAAACATTCTTCTCAGATCTTTCCTCTTTTGAAGTGTTCTACTAGTTGCTAACAGTTTGCCTGCCACATGAGCACAGCTATTTAGAGGTTATATTCTATTTTCCAAAGTGCCAGTGACATAATTGCAAATATCCTTACTGTACGCAGACCCAGACTGCTGACAGAGATTCTTCCTAAAATGAACATTGCTCTGCTGTAGTTACCAAAAATACAAGTCTGCACTTAGATTTATCTTCCTGGTGATCATACATTTAAGAACTTCAAGGCTTTATTCAACACCTTCAGCATAGCACAGTTCCAGGTTTCAGGTGTGAAACACAGAATGAACCAATCTTACAGCAGCTCCGAAGAGTGATTCTAGCTGGATGACCAAGAGAAAAGGCTTGTGTCCTTTCAAACCTAAAAGGTTATTGAGACTATCGAGATGAAAGTGCTTTCTGTACGTTAAAATCAGCCTGTCTCTTTTAAGAATTCCATTAAAATCTTGAAAAGGTGTGAGCAAAAAAACCCAATTCCTCCAAGTTTGCAGTGGAACAGCAGCAGTTTCAAATGTTTTGGTTTTTAGGAGTTGTGCTGGTGGAATAATTTACATTCAGATATCACCTCTCATGTTGATGGATCCCAAATCACTTTACAAACTCTGAAGTGTGTGAAGGAATTACCTCCTTTAACCACCAAAGTAAAGATGTGCAGCCACCTCTAAACTAAAACACCATAGCCCACATGACACAACTCCTAATACAGCTGGTGAACACAAATACAACAGGAACACCAAATCCAAAGGGATGATCCCATCCAGTGGAATCTCTAGACTGTATTTTAGGTAAGCAGGGTAGCAGTCATCTGCATTTGAGCAGGTCATGGCTGTTATGTAAATATTCTTACCAAAAGAAGTTGTAAGACATTCAGTGGCCTCCATCTCCGTTTTGGGGAAAATGTCTTTTCCCTAGAGCATTCATTCAGTATTGACTCAAGTGACCTGTGAATTACTCAGCTGCTACCATCACAGTCCATGCTGCCTTTAGGAAGCAGTCCATCCAAAGGCAGGTACCTTTAGTCCAAGCTCTTTCAAAGTGGCAAGGAGCTGCCCACAGAGCAAATATTGTCTTCTCATTTCTCTCACCATATCCACATATTTTCAGAAGGCTTAGCCAAAACTGCTGGCCTCCACTGCATTTTCTGGCTTCTTTATGCCTGGAACTACCTACTTACAATATTAAATCCACCCCTGTCTTCCTCCCATCTCAGAAGATAATATATACTTATATGTTGCATCACAGTCCTACAGATGCGGATGTGACAGACCTTAGCCCGTTTATACCGTGAAATATGCATGGTATGATATTCTGGTGTAGAGCCACATTAGTGCTTTGTTTATCTTTTTGTTGTTGGTAGGCCAGTGGAAATCACCTCTGGCTTGGGATGTTTTGCAATTCACTCTGGGTGCTGCAGAGATAATAAAACAGAAATTCTTAGAACATTTCAAAATCAGCAAAGGAAGTGTGACTTCGGCTATGGACTTGTTCCAGATTCCTCTAGTGCCAGCAAAGTAGTTGTATATGAAAACAAAGTTATTTGCTGCATTTCATCTAGTGAAATGCAAATACTTTGAAACTACATGCATGAAAAGTAGGTTAAATGGGTTTACCTGGATTTGCCTTCACATACAACGAGTTGTTATCGGCAACATACACCCTTCTAACAAAATCCTGCTCTTCTTGATGATAAAAGACATTTTGCAATTGAGCCATGAGTCATCTAAACAGCCATTAAACCTTCCCTTTTATTGCTGTACTTAAATAAGCACAAATATTGTCACTAACTTTCAGTTTTAAACACATTAATAATTTTATCTTCATCATAACCTATGTTATGTTAAAGGAACATTACCATCTTGCCATCTGTTTCGCTTTGCATAAAAATGGACAGGGAGGTCTACATCTAGCAGGAATACGTACATGTATCACCTAGGAAGTCAGGACGAAGGGCAGGAGAAAACAAAAAAACTGCAGTAAAAAGTAGAAATTTCATGTCAGTTATTCAGAACACAGCAGAGAAATTGATGCTGCATCTTTAAATAACTTGAGAAATGTATTTCATCTTTAATTCCCCATTTTCCTATTCAGAACAAGTGCTGCCCAGGACTGGTTTTCGAGTGGATTCCTCTGGCAAGTATTCTTCAGCCTTCATTGTTCTGTAAACTAGTTGTCCTTCATTCTATGTTTTAGTTATTCTTCTTTCTTTAATCATTTCTCTAGATAATTGCCAGTCATGACTGCCCAGTCACCATTTTATTTTTGTATGAGCTTTGTGGGGTTATAGAATGCTAATTCTAAATCTTTTTATAATAGATTTGCATTTTGAGCAAGGAGTATTTCTTTTTCCTCTGCCAGTCTTTGTATATGTTTTACAATTTTTTATGTGTACTTTCATACATCAGTGTTCACTCTTTAACATAAAAATGTATCTCCATAGCTCATGCCCAAGTCTAAGCTTAAGCAATGTTTTGTGTAAAACCAAAATGAATTCTATCTTTATTTGCAAAAGAATAGAACTGATGTATTATGCAGTCCCACCCATTCCTTGCTCCCATACATATATCTTGTTCTGTAAAAAACTAAAAGCAAAAACTTTCAAAAATGGAAGTTTTTTCAGGTGTTTGAATCGACATTGGTCTTGTAAAGTGGCAAAGAACTTGTTTTAAAATATTTGATTTCCTGACGTGACCAAGTTAAGTGAACAGTTAAAGCTGGCATCCCATACAGAAAAGGCTGTTTTGACAATCCCATATACAATCCCTTCTAGTCCTACACAGGTTGGACAGAGATCCTAAATTAAGTATGATATTGGGCTGGTTTTGCATACCCCAGAATGGTTTATATGTTGAATAACTGTTGGCACACCAATTATTTTTTTCTTTTTCTTTTTTTTTTGCTTTGCTGATTTTTATACTGAAGTCTTTATTTACCAGCTTTTCCTCTCTATAAATATCAAGAGGAAATATGTGTATTTTTTAAAAAGTTATTCACGTTGGAGACTAGCAGACCCATGACTTTTCAAGCTTTTCACATCTTTCAAGAACACCTGAAACTCAGATAAAAAGTTGTTGTAGATTTGTGTCAATCACAATTCACAATGCGCAGTAACAATTTATATTGAACAAAAATCTTCATCTTCAGCAAAGGAGTCCAAATTAACTTTTATTTTTAGCAGGAAAGTTTAGTATGCCCAGGAAGACTGTAAAATTATTACAACAAATCTCTTCATCTTTGTTTTAATTGCAATATAGAACAGCTTTAATAAAAAAAAAGTCCATCTCACCATTTGCAGCATCATCCCAAATACCAGGTTTATCGCTATGAAAATCACATAGCACTTCTGCAACTTGATACAGAAAATGAATTAATCATCTTCAGGGATATATTTTCTCTACTTACTTTCAAGAAACAATTGCATGTACACTTATCAATGTGTAATTCACCTAGGAATTCAAATGCATACAGTACAGACATGTAGCTGAGACTTGATCTTAAGGGTGGAAGTCACAAGGATGGAGCCAGACTTTTTGCAGTGGTGCCCAGCGACAGGACAAGGGGCAATGGGTACAAACTGAAACATAAGAGGTTTCAGTTGAATATGAGGAAAAACTTCTTTACTTTGAGGGTGACAGAGCACTGGAACAGGCTGCCCAGGGGGGTTGTGAAGTCTCCTTCTCTGGAGATATTCAAAGCCCACCTGGACAATGTCCTGTGTAACATGCTCTAGGTGAACCTGCTTTAGCAGGAGGGTTGGACTGGATGATCTCCCGAGGTCCCTTCCAACCCTTGCGATTCTGTGATTCTGTGATAAGCACATCTTCAGCTACGAGATCTCACTACTGTTCAGTAACAATCTGTTCTGGTACCTTTACAGTTAAAGGAAATTCCCCGTGATCCAGGAAACAGAAGGCAGACTTTCCCAATGCTCTTTACCATCCTCACTGTGCAGTGATGATCAGATCACAGCTTGTCCAATACCATTCTCAAATTCATGGGGAAGCCAGTTGGTTTTATAACCTAGCAAAGTGAATTTTTTTTTTTCTCTTCTAGGCCAAATGATCAGTTAAGAATATTTTCCTTTATGCAAAAAGAAGAAACAAAATGCTACAACTATAAAAAAGACAATGAAGTTACTAGCAGGCAAATCTAAAGTTCTTTTTCTAATATAAATATGCGGAGAAGCAAGGGAGAACAGGGAACATAGTCATTCTTGCACAGGATACCCATGTCATACAATCAGAAATATTGACTTTAATCTGGAACCCTCCTTTCGACGCAACTGGTAGGAGGTGGGACATTCAGGCATATTAAGTTGACTGGAAGGAAAGGCAAACTGTGCAAAAGACTACACTAATTCAGTCTTGGCTTGACTCCCGTGTCTGCAAGCCTATTCATTTCTTCTTACTTGGCATGAACTGCAAGGTGCTAATCTACCTTACAAAGAGAAAAAAAAACCCCACATTTTCCAAAATGAAGTTATATTAACCAACAGTTGGCAGTATATAACAAGGCACAGGAGCATCATTCTTCTGTAAGTATAGGTAATTTTCTTTGTATTATCAACTGAAAATCTGCTCCAGCCAGAAAAAGCAAAATTTAGTTTATCTAACAATCCTTTGTGAGGAAAAAAAAAAAGTACCAGAATCCTAGAGAGGCAAGAACTGAAGAAATATCAGATGAAATGTAATCACTATATATGAGTAAGAATACTTGATCAATGTACATTGAGGATTATTGAAACTGCTGTATATAATAGTAGGGACTTTTAGTAAATCTACCAAGCATGAGCTCCTGTAGTAAAAACACATAGTAGTAAACAACTTACCTGTCTTTAAGAAACAGGGCAAAAGGGATTTCACCATCAGCAAGAGTTTAGAACATATTTTTTATTAAAGACTAACTGCCAATATGGAGATAAACTGAGACCTAATGCAAAAGGAGTTTACCAAACATTGGTTGTGTCAGACTAACCTGATAACTGACGTTTTGCACCAAACAAGCAATGCATGTTTAATCAATCTAGAGTTCAGCTAGGCATTTTACAAAATGCAGTTATAATTGAAGCACTTGTGTGTTAGCCTGGAGAAGACAGTGCTTAGTACAAAATGTAAAGAGGAACGCCTAGACAGCAGATAAGTAATTCTACTAAAAGAACAGTTTCTGGACTGAAAGGGTATTAGTGGAGAGCCTTGCAATAAGTCTTCTGTGTTATTTTCATTAATGACCTAAGCACAGACACTAAGGGTGGAAATGAGGTCCACATTCAGACATGTAACTTCAGGTACCTATGGTGTAGTTGTCTCTGGTCAGTGCAGCTGCTGGAGCCATATCACACCCGTCATGAAAGCTTGAAACAGCAGTGGAGGAAACACTCCTTAAGTGCAGTAGTCAGTCACTGGAGATAACAATGGTGAAAAAGCAAATAAAATCTTGGGGTGCAACCCACCGGTGAAATGCTGGATGAGGCAGGTGACCTAGTGACAAATGCCACAAACAGGCTTAGGCACCCAGTGTCTTTGCTGCTAAGGTCTGCATGCTGTTTGCTTGCAGAGCCTTGCAATGACAGGGAACTGGACTAGATGACCTAGGGATCCCTTCTAGTCCCATGTTTTGGTTTTTCTGGTGGGACAGAAAATAACATTATTTTTTAAAAGCAGTTTTCAGTGCCCTGGTAAGAGTTAGCAACAAATGGGCTCCATAGACTTCCAGCTATTTAGGAAGGAAAGCTCTTCTGAGCAAGCATAGTCAGTTAATCCAAAGGCTTCCAAACTGTGTTAGAGATCATAGAAAAGTATGCCCATATACAGTATTTTCAGCCTAAATCTTTTCATGGTCAACCTGGTTTACCTATTCCATTCTAAATGGGTAGAAAAACAACCTCTTTTTAAAAAAACAGTACCTCTTAGTTTGGAGCCTGGTGCCAACATTGGTTTGGATCAGCTTTGTCAATGTATGTGTTTGAGGGACATTTTCATCTCAGTGTGCCAGAGCATGTATTCTTCACAACCTGACATTCTTATAATTTTAATGTATTCCCAATTGTGTATATTCATTCGTGTGTGCACAAATAAAGGTAGTGCCTGGTTTGTGACAGACTGCTGGAAACAGTGCCTTGGAGTGTTAGACCCAGGCTGTAAATGGTGATCCTACTGTGTCTATCTGCAAAGCCCTCTCCCTGGTACTAAGCCCCATCCTTGTTACGCTTAGGCACAGCCTAATAGCGTATTGCTTTCATCTTACAATTCCTTTGCCTCTTGCAACTTTGAAACAGCCTTTGCATTGAGTTAACATACTGTACATGCAAAACTTCATTTGTTCTTTTATTCACTGTTGAGACACTTATCAAATAAATTGAAAAAATCAGGATAATAAGGTGTTAGGATCTGTTTGGGTTTATCTTCTAATTACATGAGAAGCAAGTTGGTAGGGAAAGGTAATACTTCTATTTTACTGACAGAAATATTTGTGATTCAGTCTCACTCATACCAATATATGTCGCTGAAATAATGCACTATGCCACTGTCTAGAGAGGATTTTTATTGCACGGTCGTGGTACAGAGCCACTGCACATAGTTCTGTGTCTCTCTTTGGCAAGACCTGACTGAAACTGAATCAGCTTTAATCCCAGACTAAAGCTGGGATCTGCCCAACTCCACAGTTTGCGAGGTGTCCACTGATGGCTCGGGGGTGGGGGGATCTTAAATGAGAGTTGTGAAGTACCATGCTTCAGCCATCTGTAGTCCCTCCCCTCCTGAGGAAACAAGGCACAACTGGAGACCCTAAGAACAGTTTGCTGGAACAAACCTACTCATCCCTTTTTGTTTGTTGGGGTTGGCAACAAGCTGACGCTGGCCAAAAGCTGTCACAATTTATAGACCAGAGTGCAATCTGTACAAAAGACCATTCCTGTGATCACTGTTCTGCTTTAGGTGGTGAGCCTAAAGCATCTCTGAACATGCAGAGAAAGCAATAGTCAAAACAGACAACTTCTTAGTCCTCTAATTGCTTACGGTTTCACTTTCTTCAAAATTTCTCTTTTGTATTTTGGGGGCATCAAGACTCAAAACAATGGGCTCTTTCAAATGAAGCTAAAGACACTTTTATAAGAAACTGACTTTTAAAAACCACTGTTTTCCTCGACTGATATATTCCAGGGCAGAATATATGTTTACAGGCAAGTTACGCAGGCATATGGAAGCACAATCTTAATGATTCATAAAGCTGTTGAGACTTTAATTGAATAGCATTAAGGAGTTCAAGTTAATGATGTTAGCTTTCAATTTAAACCCTAAGACTCAAAGGCTTATAATGATAGCTTTCGTCAAAACTCTTTATTGAGGGTATTACCTGAAAGTGGAGTACTTAAAAGCTACATTACATAAAAAGACACACTGCTTTATTTCTGCGTGTGGAAATAAAACGGCCTGTAATGATTATTCATCTTTTGTAAGTTGGACTGATAATTTTTCTATGTATCTCTATCTCCCATTTCAGTTTATCCTTTTTAGGTTTTAATGAACTGCACAGAAAACACAAATTAAATACTAGAGGTGGATGAGCAGCAATATATTATGCAGTCAGTTGTAGGAAGAAGGCATCTTTATGACCTCTATTTTGGACAGACTTTCCCAGTACTGTTCTCCTGTGAATGTGTTCTAGCTTGGTTTAGTGTATTCTACTGAACATAATCATCCTCCAAGAGATACCTACATTTTCAAGTCTCCTCCTTGTCTGTGTACAACTCATTGTGTCCCATTTGTTTCCACAAGCTCTAACCAGGTTGCCATTAGTCACGTGCAATGAGTACGAGGTGGGGGGGAAGATGGTGCAAATGCTCAAGACAAAGCCAAAATGCTTTGCTCAGTGGGATTTCCCTTTAAACCAGGTCCCGATTACAAGGAGCTGGATGTTCACCTTCGGAGAATGGAGTCTGGGTTTGGCTTCAGGATCCTGGGAGGAGATGAGCCTGGACAGCCTGTGAGTTATTTCTTCCTGATTTTCCTTTTTATAACTCTAAAATCTGTGTAAAGGTCAGGAAAATTTTTGCTACATAGCTGAACCTAAACGAACATCATGTTAAGGCTATAAGTAAAATGGCTTTTTTATTCATCCATAATAAAAAGAGGAGTCTCAGGTTGTCCTCATCTAAAAGATGTCACAGTAAATTAAGTTAGAATCAGAAGGAATTAAGTTAGAAATGGTGCGTCACTCAGCCCTTTACTGCAGAGTGTGACCTGGCATCTTTTAATCTTGACTTTCCAAAATCAAGTTTAAGCACAAGATTTTAAAAATCAGATTATGTAAGACTATGCATAGCTGTGTTCAATGTAGGCAAACTATATATATACACATAAGGTTAAAAGATACTGTTGGCAATGCAGTTTATTTCCAGGAACACAGAAGGCTCCACTAGGGAATGGTAGTCCATGTTCCAGGTTAGATGACAGCATCATGTGACGCATCAGGCATAAAAATGGTAGCTTCATACCATTAGGAGGGAGATGTCCCCGTAACCAAATAACAGGTAACAAAACCAACATAGATTCATTGCAGGTGAAATAAAATATAGAATAAAATATGCCCACGATTTTTAAAAGAAATGTGTACACATTTTGGTAAATTAGTGATATATATATAAACACTATAATTTTGAGAGAGCAGGCAGAGTTAGTACTCCTTCAGAATAACTTTGATGATGTAACTACAGTTTGTCAGCAAGGACTAATCCCAAGTCGATAATGATAACATCTTAGTATCACAACCTAAGGCATAGTCAGAGTCCTGTGTTACCACACTTCTCAGATAATGTGTAGATAGTTAACTACAATATAACTATATAATGACTTGATAGGTCTATATATTTCGTATTCAAATCCATAGAGAATAATATAGTTGTCATTCAAGCATTAGCTTTAACCAACACAGGGCTCTGAGAAACAAAGAAGCTCCTCTATTTTGAAGTTGTCAACATCTGCCAAAGTACTGATAAATATTAATAGCTTACTGATGCCTCCTGCAAAAAGAAACAACTGCACTCCATTCTAAAACACGTGCTTCAAGTGCTGATTGAAATGCAAAGACCCTACTTTAGAATGCTTTGGAACGGATTTTCAAAGCTAGATGAGGTGTGGCTTTACAGAAGGACTCCAAAACAACATCATCTACACTTGCAGTGCGCCTAAAGTCCCTCTGGCATCTAACTTTCTTCCACGGAGCATGTCCCAGCGCACACAAAATGAGGCCACTGAGCCATCATCTGCACATCCCCCAACCAAGCATTTTTCCTGTCCTTTCTGGATGTCCCAGCCAGTCTGGGTTCTCAAAGCTTGCCTACTGGGTGAGCCTAAAAAGGACATCTGTTAGGAGCTAGAGGAAATGTCCCATTTTATCATTTTATCCTGCAAAGAATTGGCACTAGCAGAAGATTTGGAAGTCTCCCTCTACCAGCTTTGAACAGTAGTGTCCACTGGCATTTCCTACCCCCCAGGAAAGTGTCCCTGGCTACAAGGCTGCTCAGTATTCTGGGGAAGTCTGTCCTGGTGTCCTGTTTAGTGCTTTTTTCATTACAAATGGATAATTGAGTAGTCACAGACTGAGCGTCTGACTGGCTCTGCATTTTGGAGGTTTATGACATTCTCACGGGGGAAAGTGCAGCTCCAATGCCTCATCTAAAAGATGATAATTTCTATAAAATTGAATTATTTCAACCTAAAGGACTGCAAGAAAATTGGTATAGAATATCTAATATTCTGATGGTTAAGAATACATGCTGGAGTTGTGGGACACCTGAATTTAAGTCTCTGCTCAACAATCCAGTAGAGTGGGAATTTGGAAATGAGTCTTTTGCCTCCAAGCGACATACATTATGCACTGAAGTGTTACAGAGGAAGCAGCTCTTTCTAGTTTCTTTTCAGTGAAGGACTGACCTGGCTTTGCTGAACAAAGTCAAAGAGTCATAGCTGGATACCAAGTGCAGAGATAAGCATCTTGCTATTTTTGGAGAGCAGAACCAAAACCGCTGCCTTCTCTGAGCCACCTTCTAAGATGCTTCACTGTCCTGCTTGAACAATCGCTCTCAGCCTGCGCTTAGCCTCAAGGTTGCTATCTCTATTTCAGGGTTTGCAAATACAAAAGCATTTTTCCCTCAGACTTATCAGTCTAACAGGCTTTGTGTCTCCACACAAACCATGTCTCAAAGTCCTCAGGAATTAATAAGATCCTAGGTTGAGGCTGAGGGTCCTACGAGGCAAAGCAGCAGCTCCTCAAGGTGTTGCCATGCTGGACTTCTCAGTTCTCGCTCCCTCTTTGTTACCCATCTGTTTGTTTTCACGGCTCAAATTTGTCACTAATAAAGACGACAGATGTCCTCCACTTTTTTTTACTTTTCATCTATTTTGTATTCAAATTCAAGACTTCTTACCTCTGTTTTCTCTCCTCCGCTGCCTCCCTGCTCGGCCACAGACAGGCTGCCTGCAGCCTCCCATTCCTTTCACCTACAGAAAAGGAGAGGCAGTTTCTGCCTGTCCTCCAAACCCCTGCATTTCCCATGAAACAAGAACTGAGATGCTTTGAAATGTTTGTTTCAGGTCTCCTGCTGTGCAGTCAGGTAACACAGAACAAAAGGAATCTTTCATTGCCTTTTGTCTTTGTGGCTTGGTTTCTAAAAAGGAAATTGGATTCTTCAGCATAAGGCAATAAGTTTTTCAAAGAAGCAGAATCGTAAAGTTTTTTTAGAAGGATAATACTGACACTATGGAGGGACTGTAGCTTAGTTTCATTCTGGTTATATCAGCTCCCTGGCACCTTAGAACAAGCGAGTGCTGCTGGACTACTCAAGTTTCCATATTTGTAAGCATAAAGATACTTTCCAAAGGAAAGACTTAAATTTATTGAGAAATTTCAAATGTCAAGACTGTGGGTTGTGCCAGTTCAAATCACCTCTCAAATTTCATGATTTCATACCACCACAGGTATTTATCACATCTCCCAGTAACTTGAGGAGTTAGAGGTGATTATTATTATTACAGTGAATTATAATATCACTGAAAGGTTGCAAATATACATAAATTGGGACTTTACCCAAGTTGTAAATTGCTGTCCCAAAGTGGAGGAATATTTTGGATGCATTTGTGCAGCTCAAACTCAAAAGCACAGGAACATATGCACAATTACACTAAGAATTTCACCTTTCACTGATCAACTGGGTTTCTTCTCAAAAAATTCCTGCAAGATGTATGTCAGTATTCCTTTTATGATTGGTACCAAGAAACAGACATTTCTAAGACATAACAGATGTCCATATAGCAAAATGTTAGGATAATGCAGACCATGCCTTAGGAACTCCTATTTTTAGCAGTGATTAGACAGAGTTCAGATGATTATCCTAGGTTTAGACATCACAGACACTTAAAATTAGGTGAGATGAATCACACCTTTTATGTGTATTACTTAAATTTCACTATGTGCCTGTGAAGCTACTGTGTTATATTCAGAAAAACTGAAACACAAAGTCAAATAATTACCAAGAATCACAAAGAAATGCAGTATCAAAGCAGATTAACATGTATGAGTTAATAGACTCAGGCTACAATTTGAGATTATGCTTTGTCACAATCTTCCTAATCCCAGCATTCCTCATGTTTAATCTTACTGCCAACATGTCATCATCCTTTTCCTCACACATTCAAAACAATCTCATGATGGTATGAAACTGCATTACAGAGGTAATATAATCCTGATAAGTATTTTTCCAATTTGTGTTTTGCTTGTAGAATTTCTCTTATGGAAACTACTCAGCCATGAGATGAGAGCAGATACTGGATAAGAAACAAGTGCAGGCATAAAAAATTAAAAGGAAGGAAAATTAAGTTATTCTTGCTATTAAATATACCCAATAACAGATATGGTGGCCATCATCTTGACAAACACACCTACCTGAAGTGTTTAAAGTAGGACTCTGCTGCTTATGCTAGGAGTCAGTTCCACCACTAAGATGAGTAACACAATCACATTCCACTGAGGACATGTGAAATATCAGCAATAAGTACTTAATTCATCAAAACTAGAAAGAGTTTTTGCACTTTGCTGTAGATACTGATGACCTACCATGCAGTGAGCTGCATTTGTGTTTCTCCAAAGGTTGAAGATGCACAAGTTGTTCAATACTTTGGCAGCCAATTATAAAGAAACTGCAAATGCTCAATAAAACTAAAAGAGGAAGGCGACCCCCTACAATCTTTCAAGCTGCAGAGGGATATCACCCGTCTCTTCCCAAGGCAACGAGGAAAAAATTCTTACTCATACAGGATGCCCAAATATAAAGGTTTTGAAAATACTTTGTGGAGATCTAGCTAAACATAGCTTTGGACAGCTTTTTTCCTGTCCAAGAAAGGAGCATAAATACATATTTCATAGTTGAATTTTACACAAAGTATTTTCCAAAGCTTTGATTCTTTCACTATTTGAAGAACAGAATGGAGAACCTGAAAGAGTCTCACTGGCAACTCAGCCTGGCACTGCTTAACAGGATCCCAGGAACACCAGGAAGCAGGAAAATGCTGCATCGTGTTCTCGCTTTGCTAAGTTTTGAAAGCAAAAATAAGCCAAAGGGAGGCTAGAAATGGGAAAATTCTCCAGGCTCCGCATGGGGTTTCATTTAAACACTCTGCTGGGATACTTGCAACTCTGCAGCTAAGACCACAAAAAACCCACAAGACCACCTGTGTGACTTACTACATCTAGCCTTTGCAGTTCATCATGAAAAGCAATACTTGATAGCTTTTATCTTTTATTTTTTAAAGCGGATTGTCACACGGCATGTCATATCCATCATTCTGTGCTCACTCTTGCACCGAACAAGATAAAGGAAAATTTGGAACATGCTCTGTGAATGCTTTAATATTCTTTCAAAGAAAGCAGGTTTTGTTTGAATCAATCTCAACTGTTCTACCAGTTATTCCACAGGGAATATATATATGTCTACTTCTAATAAATTATGTGAATTTATGTGCATAGAAAGTGGAGAAAGTCATTAAAAGGTTTTGAACAGATTTTTTACTAGTTTATATGTCCCATACAAATTACATTTAAATGTCAATTTGGGAAAACAACATCTGCCCAGAGTAAACTGACATTTTTCCTCTTTTTCCATATTGTTAATCAACCACTACCTGAGCAATTATTCATCCAGAGTAAACTGACATTTTTCCTGATTGTTAATCAACCACTACCTGAGCAATTATTCAATATGAGTAACAGCATTTGATATAGCACTTCTTTTCCCCTAAAGAGTCCCAAGGCAAACTCTGAAAGTCTGTCTATTGGGGTCACTTCCATTACTGACCTCAAGTGTATTGCTTAAATCACACAGCAGTGAGGAACCTTCGATAAGAAATATGCAGGCTAACTAATTTTAAGTCAAAAAGACCCTTACGTGCAATTGACCTGTTTAGATCTTCTGCATAATGTAGTCCATATAAACTCAACACTCCTTGTAGTCAGATTGTCTTGATTTGAAGATACCAGGTCAATCGTCCTTAGATCAGGGATCCCAGGTGTATCACTCCTACGGAGGTAGGAAACATCTTACCTTCTTACCAAAGGCAAGGGAACATCTTCAGTCATAGCCACAGAGGAGGAGCACAGCTTTCAGACACACACAGATCTCTTCACCTGCACTGAATTGCTAGCTTAATTTCAAAAGAAAAGAAAAATCGCTGCAACATTCATGGCACTAAATGGAATGCTCGATGTATATATGATGGGATTTTGTTTCTTTGCTGCCTAGATTCTCATCGGAGCAGTAATTGCCATGGGCTCAGCAGACCGAGATGGTCGTCTCCATCCTGGTGATGAGCTCGTGTATGTGGATGGGATTCCAGTGGCCGGCAAAACCCACCGATATGTGATTGATCTCATGCATAACGCTGCCCGAAATGGGCAAGTGAATCTTACTGTGAGGAGAAAGGTGCTACCCACGGGTGAGTGAAGGCTGGGAAAGGTGAAAGGAAAAAGCAGATCTCAATGCTGGCAGCACAAAGAGGTGCTGTTTTAAAAAAAAATTACAGAAAATTAAAAGCAAAGTGAATGTTTGTGTCATTTTGAAGAAAGAATAATTGTAAATATGTGTCTCCTGTTTCTGCAACAAAAACACTACAGCTGAGTGTTGTTTCCTTCAGAAGTGGAAACAATACTGGCAACCCCGGTGTGGTGATCATGAGTGCTCTGGATTTGTCCCATGCTGTCTTGGTCTGTGCTGTCTCCTCTTGTCCATTTTTGGGACAAAACGTTCACCTAAGTTAAAGCTGCTAAAGTTGACTGTGTCGAAAAGCAATCAGAGAAAGGCTCCGAGACTGTTAACTGTTTAGGGCAGGAACTCATTTCACTCTTGTATGTGTTAAAAGCCCATTTCTGGTCTCACTGATGTCATCTGGAATTTTCCCTCACGACTGCAACGCAAGCTGGCTGAAAATCTTCTCTATGGCACAAGCGGCTCCTAGGAACAGGGCCGGATCCTTCCTTCGAGCAGACACATTCAGAAAACAAACCTGAAACAATAAGAAGAATTTGAAGTAAATTAAAGCTTTAGGCTAGCTCAGTCTCAATTATTGAGAAACACTGGAACCTGGAAAAATGTGTGGCAGCATCTATTAAAGCTTTAATGGGAGGATTTGCTGCCATTCCATTGCAACCTTTGCTTACTTCAGGGAAGAAGTTTATTTAAGAACTTTTAAAACATTTGTGGTGAGTGCACTTCACTGAGGCACCAGAAATGAGCAAAACCACGTTCCCAGCCTGTCCTGTCTTCTGCCTCCCTATGCCCTAGATCCACTGTCATTGCCTGCGCCGTTCCCCTTCGCTCCCCTGCCAAAAAGCCGCCCTCCCACTCACCTTCGTCTTCGCAGTCCCCCTCCCACTGCGGCACCGCAGCTCCCTGCCAGCCGCGCTCTCGCGGGACTGACTTTCTTCTGTTACTGACTCCAGAGTCCTCCAGCCAGAAAGGTCCCCCTCCGCCCGGCGCGACGCCCCCTCGCAGCTCCCCCAGCGCTAGGAAAATGGCCAATAACCAAGGTAATCCGCCGAGCGCTTGCGATTAGCACCTTTCCCGGGTCAGCCGGCTATACAGACGGCAGGCAAAATTAGCAAGAGGGTTAGTACAGAGTGAATGCCAGCCTTCGCTGCTGCTTGTTAAATATGAAATAAAAGGGTCTATTAGACACTCTGGTCTCCTGGCACAGAAAATGAAGCAAGCTGGTAAAACACCTGGAGTTATTCTTGGGCCTTGAGAGTGCCACACCGGGGAGTACAGTGTGTAACTCATTAATGTTGAAGCATTTCAGGAGCTGAACAGGATTTTAATTTGGTGTGTTACAACATAAGCTTTGTGGAAAAATTTTAAAACTACTGGTGCTGAGCATGACTGAAAAATGCTATACTGACACATCAGGCCAATTCGTTCCGTGGGAATTTCTCACTAGCGTGAATGTATACAACAGAGGGGTCTGGGGCTTTCCTTACCTGCCTGGTAGCTGATGTACATATCTTAGCCCTGATAGCTAATGTATGTATCTTAGCCCTGATAGCTGGTGTATGTATGTTAGCCCTCGCCTGGAATCGCCATTTTGCACAGATACTTACCCACATCTGGAACAGAAAATCACCATTCACAAGGTCTGGAAAACAATTTGATTAGGAAAATGTGGTATTCGGAATAACACAGATTAAAATGCCATTGTTTTCACAGGCAGAAGTAAAATGTAATTTTTCTGATTAATATCTATTGCACAGCTGACAATCAAATAGCCATTTAAACTTTTCCTTCTCTATCTTTCCTTCCCTATACTTAATGGCATTCAGCTGCATTCCTTTATGGCCAAGCCAGCTCTTGGTCATTCTGCAGGCTAAGATAATTTCCTTTCTGTTGCAGCCATACTGACATAAACAATATTCAGCTTTCTGAAACATGACAGCCAGAAAATGAGATCTCTCTTGTCACTGACTATGGCATTTAGTTGCAGATTTGGTTCAATAACTCTTGGAGGTTTTCAATTCTAATGCAGGAGTACAATAATTGTTTGTTTTTCTTCCTCTTTATTCTCTCTAATCATTTTATTTCATAGTTGCAGAAGGACTGCTAAAGGACACACCTGACTGAGAAAACAATAGCTTGCCCTTGGATGATGTTTATTTTATTAATATATACACACACTGAAGGTTTAATTTGCAAGCTCTCTTCCTAGGATGTATGTGTGTGCGCGTGAGCTCTTCACATGTTCAGGAGAATGACTCTGCCGCTCTCATTGCTCCAAACAGAAAACACGTTACTTACATTCATCTGAAAGTTCTGTATTAAAGCTGTCAATAAATGCCGATTTGTGTAAACAACTTAGATCTGCGAGGAATATAAATCTTTTTTCCCATCTGGAAGTGCAACTTCAGTGTTTTCAATCACCAGAATGCTTGTACTAAAAAAGCGTGTAACCCCGCAAGACTTAACTTGTTCTGTTCTCGTTACTATCAAGCAATACTGACGTGTGGATGGACTCCATTTTCACTTCCGCCCTTTCGAACTCGCCACACAAGAGCATCTTCAAAACCTTTAAATGACCACTGCTTTTGTCACGACACCCACAGAAAAACTATTTGTGGTTATTTTTCTTTGTATAACTGCTCTGTTCCGTGAACATCTTTTGAGCACGCTAATCAACTTGTAGGAACATTATGCAGCTAATCCTAATTACTCTATGTTAGCTGCCTGCTGAAATTCTTTTAATCCAAACACAAATAATTTTATATTGGATTAGATGGCCACATTTTCCTCTTGATGACAGATCAACCAGCAGACAAGGGAATAGTGCCTGCTAATGTTTTTGCAGTCCAGATAGCCACTGTTTCTTACTTTCCTTTCCTCTCTTTTAGAGAGCTTAGCAGCAAGTGTTCATGCTTGCTTTATCTGATTGCCCTTGAATGTTTTGCATAATTGTGTAGATTCCTGTCTCTCTGCATCTATTACAGCTCCTAGTTTAATACTTGCGGTAGTCTGGGCTATAGTCAACTGTTATTCATGTTGCATTAGCAAACGTAGTGTAAGTCACAAAGCCAAGCCACTGAGCAAGTCAGACTGTAATACTGGTGTGATTTGTGTTGTAGGAGACCCATGCCCAGAGAATGGCAGAAGCCCAGGCTCAGTCTCTACGCACCACAGTTCTCCAAGAAGTGACTATGCTACTTACGCTAACAGCAATCACGCTGTCTCTAGTAGCAATGCTACACCCCCCGAGGGCTTCGCTTCTCACAGCCTGCAAACCAGCGACGTTGTGATCCACCGCAAGGAGAATGAAGGCTTTGGCTTTGTTATCATCAGTTCCTTGAACAGGCCCGAATCTGGGGCCACAATAAGTAAGTAAATCACTTTTTTCAGCTTATATTTTGCCAAGTTCATCCCAAATTAAGAAAAAAAAATTAAAACCTGACACCTGCTAATTAATCACTGCACAGATTAAAGCTGAAGGGACTCTGAAGATTGCTTCAAGGAGCACCATTTGTCTGTTGCATCTTGGACAAAACCAAAGGTTATTCTGGCCTCCGAGGTTCTATGCTTCACACACTCATTTGGCTCTCGAAGTACAACAGGATTACCCACAAAGTAGATTTTCTCTGTTCCTATATACCAAAGAGACACTCTGCAAGTAACTACCAGGGTTATGTGAATAAACTATTCCTCCACGCGCAATTGAATTATAATTTTTATTTCTTTTAATCAAGATGAAGTTCAGGAACTTGAAATAAAAACTGAGATCACAGCAAACGCCATGACAGCAGCTGTCCAGTTAGGGCACTGCAGAAACAACTGGAAAACGAGAAAAATGGTTAGGCAGAGGTCCAGGGAGGCTGATTTCTTTATTAGCTGGACTATACATGGTATAAACGTTATGACTGAGTACAGGGAGATGGTGAATATAGCAGCAGGATCTGTCCTTAATGATTGTAGGTCTCCTTCTGTGGGTGTTTTGTTCATATTTGATGGGGTCCAACTTTACAGCTTTAATATAGGCATCTGGTGCCATTTGAAGTGTCTGAGGTACCTCTAGGGAGAAGTGAGGCACATGTGACATGGGACCTACAGGAGACTCAGACCCTTTGGTAGCAGCAGCTGCAGGCACAGGGGTGTCCTTGCGTGATCCAAATGGCGTTCAACCAACTGTAAGTTGAGCCCCTTGGAAGGAGGAAGCATAAAAGTCTTTATGTTGAAACACCCACATCTCCCACCAAACCCACCTGAAGCTGTGAATGCTAAGCACTGCTGAAAAACCAAGGCGAATGAGAAACTTTGTCATTTTGCAGGCTGCAGCCTAATGCAGTCCTTTCCCTGTGTTCAAAATATGTTTTGAAGGAACGGTTCTTTTGCCCAAAACTGCTTTTTGAGGAAATAAAATAACAATTTCAACCTTTAGGGCCAAAATTCTCTCTTCTCAATTCATGACAGAAAAGCAGCTAAGAGAGTACTGGGAAAGCCATATCTCACAGTAGCAAATGATCTCAGAAAACTTCTTTGCAGTATTTCATGGTCATGCAGTTATTAAAAGAGTTGCTTTTCATATTACCTCAGCTGAATTTTAAAATTCCATGATTGCCAGAATTAATACTGTAACAAAACCATGGATAATTAGCCTCTTGGGACCGTGAGTTTTCACTTATTGAATATAATAGCCAACTGGAAGTTCTTTGCAGAAGATCAGACAGAAAAAAAATAATCCATAGAGGACATTGAGATACATACATATTAATCAGTTAAGTCAGTCATGAATTTTTCAAGAAAATTATTTCACAGATAGGGTTTGTGGTTGGGGG